GTGTCACAAATAGAAGTTCCAGTCTGCCTGCCGCAGACCCCTTTCACTCACCACAGTCTGGTCTTTGTCCAAATAGTATATCTGTCAATATCTCATTGACTTCAGTGACACTTTTTATTTTGGTTTGGGTGGTTTTAGTTAAACACGTTCTTTTTCTGCACATATTGATATGTGGAATTATTAAAGTCTTTTAAAAAATATATTATTCACCTCTCCTCTGCACCTCCCCATAGAACCTGCTCTTGTTCAGATGATGCACTATTTTTCTACACATGGATTCACTATTTTTCTGGTGCTTTGCTTAGAATAGTGGTGATTTTTCTCAGCAACTTACCTGTTGCTCTATTTGGTGTATATCTGTTATTTTTGTTTCCCAATTATGATTGAAATTTTCAAGATTTTTTTTTAGTTTCTAGTTTAACTTGTTTTAACTCGTCTTAATAAAATTCAACTCTATTTTATATTCATCTTCCTGTCTCTAGGGTATAAATATGACTCTCATTTGAACTTATTAAAAAGTTTTCTTTATACTTTTTATTTTAAAAAGTTATTGGACATCAGATATATGCTAGACACTGTGCTCTAGACTTTGGATTTGCAAAGATGATGAAGACAGTTTTGGTTCTCAAGTGGCTTACAGTGAAGTGGTCTGTGTTGTGGTTGGGTTTTCTTTGTTTGATGTGCTTTGGTTTTGGTTTTGGTTTTCCTTATTGTAGAAAGCTTTATTTTCCAGGCTAATTGCTGTAACATAGAAATTTCTCTTGCAGAGAGGTTTTAGATGTCCAATTTTCCATTTTATTTGAACTCCACCCCCATATATTCCTCTTGTGTTTAGGGATAAGGGGGAGAAAGGGCCACGCAGCGAGCGACCATTCTCTCCCTATGTGGTCGTGTGGGCCATGGCTTGTTAGTGCCGAGTAAGAGTCAACCAAATCTCATCGACACGAGTACGATGAACTGATTGACGCTGTTCCTGAGGAACGATTAATGTGTGGCTGAGTCAAGGTGGATTTGAATCTCAGGCTTTCTCTTTTTCTTTCTTGTACATATGCATCTGAATATCCCCTTGTATTTTTAATTTAGAACAAGATGATTTACCTTATATCCAATTACAAATAAGTTGAAAACTGACCTTTTAAAAACATTTTTTTTAGAGTAGAATGGTGTAAACATAATGAAACTAACGTTCGTGGGATGTATTAGTTTGCTGGGACCGCTGTAACACAGCACCACAGGCCGGGTGGCTAAAAACAACAGAAATTTATTTTCTCACAATTTTGGAGTCTAGAAGTCTGAGATCAAAGTGTTGGCAGGGTTGGCGTTTTCCGAGGGTAGGGAAGAAAGGCTGTGTTCCAGGCCTCTCTCCCGGCTTGTAGATGGCCGTCTTCTCCCTGTGTCTGCACATAGCCTTCCCTCTGTGTGTGTCCAAATTTCCTCTTCTTTTAAGTATCCCAGTCATATTGGATTAAGACTCACACTAATGACCTCACGTTAACATAATTACCTCTATAAAGGACACTATCTCCAATACAGTCACGTTCTGAGATAATGGGGGTTAGGACTTTAACATTTGAATTTTGGCAAGGGACATAATTCAGTCCAAATCATGAAGTGACTCAGGAAGATACTAGGTACTTTCATATACATTAATTTATTTAATCTTCACAAAATTGCCATACCGGGGGAACATTGTGATCCCATTTCATAGATGGGAAAAACTGAGACTAAGGACTCATCTTGCTCAAGGTCACCAACTAAAAAGTGGCAAAATCAGGATTCAAACTGAAACCTGTGTGATCTACTCTGTTATGCTCCTTCTATGTATTTTCCTTCTCAATTATTTTCTTCCTTTGTAAATGCAATATTTTGAATCAAAATGGAGCCCAGGAAAAATTAGTTTTATGAATGTGTTTGGCTTTCTGTTCCGCAGCCAGTGCTTCTACTCCTAGTTACCTGTGCCAGCATCTCAGCGTCTTTCAACCTTCTCTCACGGGTCTCGGGACTTGATTCAGTGCTGCGCCCAAATCCAGACAAGGCATTCACATCCGTTCCATCACTCTCATCTAATAAACGGGTTGTCTGGTGAGGAGGGAGTTTGAGTTGTTTGGACATGTTGCATTATTTGGAAATTTTTAGAAGCTCCCAGAGGGCAAAAATCCTTTAAGTAGGAGATTGCATCATAAGTGCAGAGTCTTTTCTGTTTATGAGAGAAAGAAGGAGAAGACATGTATGGGTAGACAGGATACAACGTAATGTGAAACTTGCTAAGATGGGGGAGGAGATTAATGATGAAGATGTACTCTCTCCCAAGAGTTGTTGAAACCATCTGGTCTCAAATGTAATCAGGAGAGTACCAGATGAGGACAGATAGTGCACTTTTCATTACCAACCTGCTAAGCGTAGTAAATGAAACCAGTAAGTGAAATTGGAAAATTGCTCAGCCACATCCACAAATAGCTTGTGGTTGACTTAAACATTTAAAGATACATGCTCTTCACCAAGAAATGAAAAAGGAGGACACTTTTCTTAGTAACATAGCGCATATGTATGATATGCTAGCAGAGTATTAGGATTCTAATTCTGGTGTACCACTGACTACCCCTGTGTCTTGGGCAAGTTGGTCTTGTTGAGTATCAATTTCATCTGTCAAATCAGCGTGAGGGTAGCCGTGAAGATCAAATGAGATATACGACCTTCAAACAATAATAGCAAACTATAGAGTGCTGTATATATGTTAGCTATTTTTATTATTGCTTTATTTTTAGCCCAAATCTAACAGAACCCACAATTACGCTGAATTATTCAGTTTGAGTCTCCAATTTATGGGTTCTCTAAGCTCCTTGGTTTCTTTCCCCTTTTTACTCCTTGCATGCTGTTTCGTCCTTTGAAATTACCTTAAAACCATTGTGAAACATGGGGAAGGGCAGTTAGGAATTTTTACTCTTTCGTTTTTCAATTTTTTTTTTTTTGTATTTATGGATGCTTAATTTGCAGATATTTACAGAGAGACAGTTGAAAATAGCCCAGTCAACGAAGAGCTCGTGGTGTGTACCAAAAAGCAGCTGTCACATTTTAAAGGACCTGAGCCCTTCGGAGGAAATTACCTGTTATCTGGTTTCAAAAGAGTCCTGGCAGACTCTTGGTAGATGCTGACACATTTAATCTTTCCTGAGTGCTATTAAAATTGTAGAACTTTTGGAACAGTATTGCCATATCACCTTGATGGGCCAAATGATTGAATAGAATAGGCCATAAGGACCTTTCCTCTGTGATGAAGCACCACGGAAAATCCTGAGTTGGCAACTTGTAAAGTGATTGCTGATCACATCTCCCAAGTTTCTCATTGTCCAAGCATCTGTAAGAAGTTCTCTTGGAATAGGAAGATCCCTCTGTGCAAATAACATATTGTGTCCACCCTGCTATTTCTCCAGCAAATAATACATTACTTCTTAGTTCATATTAAAAATGATTGCTTCTTGTCCCACATACCCGAACGATACTAATGGTATTTCCTCTTTTCTGGGACTTGGGCAGTAAGGCACAGGAATGCGATGGGATTCACCCCGTGTGTGTGCATCAAGAAAGCGAAGGATCTTAGCAGTGGCTGAGTCCCTGGAGAGCAACTTTTATTGACCACAGTCTGATATTTGGTCACTTAAGAAGCACAATTAGGCTTCAATAAACCTTGCTTTCATGGTTTTTCAAATTTCTAGGCTAGTTAGAGGACAGTGGCTAGTTTGGGGGAGGAACAGTCTTTGAGATAATAGGGTGCTGCATTCCAATTTAATATGACTCAGGCAGCTAGTGGCCATCCACTGTCAATACTCCCTGAGGAAATCAGTTAATTTCAGTAATCTATCAAGATTTAAACTAAAATCTGGCATCCGATTAACCAGAGTGAACTAATTTGGTATGCCAGCATCTCTACTCTGCACTCTCCTTTATGACTGCTTGGATATGATCAGGTGGATGGATGCCAGGGAATCTGTTATCCTGACAAATGCTAATCAGAGGTAGGATTCTGATTTTAAATTCAAATTCACTATGCGCTATTAACTTTTCTAACATTGCATGTGCTTTTGATGACCTCATTTGCATGATTTTTAAAATATGCATTTCTGATTACAATTTTATCTGAGTGTTCTTTTATTTAATACGTTTTTAGAGGAAGTTTTTCTTTCTTAAATGTGTGAAAAGAGTATCAATCTATTTGCAGCAGAGATACACCGAAGTTGAACACCATATGACAATGTGATAATTGTCATCAGAGTAATATGCATAGCAATTAGGACCACTAGAGTTAAATGTATGGATTCGAATCTTACCTCCTCTACTCTGTCTATATAAAGTGCATGTAATGTAACTGTAGAGAAGTGATTTAAGCCCATAAGCTTTATCCTTATCTTTTAATGGAGATAATAATAACATTTCCTAGAGTGGGCTTTGAGAAGAGTTCATTAGAATGGCACATGTATCAGCCAGCTTTTGCTAGGTTACAGCACAGTAACAAATGAATCAAAAGTATTATTGGCTTACGGTTACAGAGATTTAATTCTCATTCGTACTCGTGTCCGTTATGGGTTGGCTCTGACTCTGCTCCATATTCTCTTTGTTCTGAGACACAACCGAAGGAGCAGCCTCTGCTGGTCTCATGACAGAGGGAAAAATGGGGATGGCAAAACTTATTGTGGTGTTAACGACTTCTGCTTGGAAGCAGCACATATCACTTCCGTTCATATTTGATTGGCCAAAGTAAGCCACGTGGCCAAGTGTAATATCAGCAAGAGTGTACAATCATCTACCATAACATGCAATGCACATTTATTGGAACACAGTAAATGCTCAACAAACAGTATTTTTTATTTTTCAATCCTGCTCACAAAAGGTTTAGGATTCATATTATACTTTGCAAAGACAGAAAAGACTAATATTTGTGTGTTTGTCAGATGGTTCTTTTAAGAGCAAATTAAGGTGCCGTACGCTTCCTTTTAACTTCCCAGGGAAGGTGGTCTATGGAGAACCCATAGCGGCGAGCCTGGGCACAGATGGCACTCACTACTGGAATAAAGAATGGCACCATGCAGCCCACCATGTTATGGGTCCACCTTTACGACCAGACCCTTCAACTCCTGACTACCTCATGAATCTATTGGCTAAGTAATCATTTAGCAGATGACTGTGAAGTGTTTTACCAAAATCAGGTGTTGTTCGAGTCTCAGGTTTGAGTATAGGAGATCTTGTCTTACCATTTGCACCTTCCATTCATCTCCCAGTATTCTGTTGTACTTGACCCGATAGGCCCTGGGGACTGGCCCTCATCTGGAAACCAAAAGGCATTAGCTTAGTTATGTTATGATATAGTATGAAATTCTCTCCTGGACACAGAGAAAGCAAATCATTTTTATTGAAATTATTCTCTCTTCTGGATTTTTCCTTGCCTTTTCTCTTATTGCCTAGAGCCAGATCTCTCTATTATGCTTTATTTTTATCATTCAGAATATTCTTGAATTCTTTCTATGTGGATATAACTTGGGAACCAGATTATGGCTGAGGGCAGAACCGCTGTGGGGATGGGAAGGCAAACTCTGACCTTCAGTAGATTATCTTCGTGAAAGGTCATCCAAATTATCTTCAGAGACACTACTTTCTGAGAGGTTATGATATTTTTCTTTAGAATTACACCATTCACAGACACCCTGACACCCTGGATTGATACTCAGATCCAAGTTAACAAAGAGCTTTTCACAATAGACTGTACAAGAGCCTTCAGTCTCCTTCCTTCTTTTTTTTTTTTTTT